ATGGGCGATGCTGCCCGCGAACACTTCTTACCACTAGAGTACAGTGTAGCAGTGCTAAGTGGAGCTGAGGCGGTGATCCACGCAGCAAGGGCTTTTCTGGACGCACGCCCCAACAGCCTGGTGCTGCAAGCTGACATCGCAAACGCCTTTAACAATATTTCGCGACAGGCCATTGCGACCGCGTTACAGGAGCCGAGTCTCTCGCCACTGCAACCTTTTGTGAAGCTGACATACGGTAACCCATCGCTGTTACACCTGGACGTCAGTTTTGGGAGCGAACCCCTGACAAGCGAATGGGGTGTCTGACAAGGAGATCCTCTGGGCCCATTATTGTTTGCAGCTGGGATTCACCCGACACCCCGCGAAACAACTCAGGCCCACCCGGATGTTCTGTGTTTGGCGTATACGGACGACGTGACGTTCGTGGGCGAACAAGATGCTACTATAGCTGCATTCAATTTTTTCACTTCGAAGTTGCAGCAGCTGGGTCTGACACACAACCCACAGAAATGCGCGGCATGGAGCAAGACAGTGGCAAACGAAACACAATTACCTCCGGGAGTACCGTTCAAGACTGATGGGGTACGCCTGCCTGGCAGTTACATTGGGCCGACCAACGGTGTGGCGAAATTCCTAGCGGGCCAGCTGGAGGAGATGGCGAAACCCTTACCACTCATCGAGCGGGCCGACCCCCAAGTAGCCTCGCTACTGATCAGTCGCTGCATTTCAAGACGTGTCGCCTACCTCACCAGGACAACACCCATCCACCTCCTCCTTCGAGACACCTGGGCCCAGTGGGGTTGTGACCTTCTGACAGCGTTACTCACCTCATGCGACATCCGTTTTCCATAGAGTAAGGCCTGGGCACAGGCATCCCTGCCTTCGTCGCTAGGAGGGGTCGGCATCACAAACGGCACAACTATCGAGGGAGTCTACGGTTTCGTAGCTAGCTTCACCCAGGCGGCACAACTTCTCTCCTCCCTCGATCTAGACCTAGGAAACGCCTTGGCGCTAGCACGTCAGCACATGCTCTTGTCCCGGGATGACAGCACACCGCTCCACACCTGGCTTGCGGAGTGTGAGATGGCCCTGCCAGGTGACGCGCGGGAGCTGTTAGAGAAGGAGAGACTGGAGCGTTCAGACATACGACTGCAGCACGCACTGGCTCTACAGGTTCACGGTAGTCGCTATGCGGTGCAGGTTTAGGCAACTAGGAAAATGGACTTGAATCAGCTCGCAGGACATACACAGCGGATGTTTTCGCTCACGGGATACGGCACTGGTGATTGGCTCACGGCGATTCCCATAGCAGCGAATAGACGCATTGGGCTGGTGCACTTTGCTAACGCCGCCCGCTTCCACCTAGGTCTCCCTTTCTCAACTCCCAAAAACTGTGATTGTGCGGACCACACGGCCATCAGTGACCCTCGACTTCCTAACCACCTGTTTCGCTGCGGCACGGGGAAGCAGCGCATCAACACCCACAACGAGCTCAGAGATGCATGCATCAGCATGGCACAGGACGCGGGTTTTATTGTTCACAGCGAGTTAGCTACATACTGCCCCATTGAGGAACAGACAGCTGATTTTACGATGACAAACAGAAGCAGTGGGGCGGTCTGGGTGTACAATGTCACGATCACAGATCCAATCAGCACGAGGGACCCGGAAGCACAGAAAGGAAGGGGATGGGCGGCAAGGGAGCAGGCGGACAAGAAAATCAAACACTACTCAAGCAGACCAGAGACAGTCGGTTTCTTTCCACTGGCCATAGAGACCTACGGCTGCCCGTGTGCAGAGGTACCCGTTTTCCTGAAGCTACTTGCATACACGGCGGCTCGGCACCACCTCAACGCCGACTCCAAATCCTATTATGCCGCCAAATTTCTGCACCAGTTTCGGCAGGGGTGGTTGGTGGCTCTCCAGCGGGCCCAATCAGTTGGTCTATTGATCAAGTTGGGCGAGGCAGCGGCAGCAAAGAACCCGCCGGTGGGCGGGATTGGGGGCGAGTTGCACCTAGGGGACTGCTTCGCAGTCATAAAGCCCCTTGTGGAGCTGTAGTTTGAAGGCTATTAGCTCCTTGTATATGTGTGTTACCTAGATCCTGAGATTATACCTTGCTTGCTTGTATTTTCCTACCATATCAATACACGGACCATTAGAGAAAGAGAGAGAGAGAGAGAGAGAGAGAGAGAGAGAGAGAGAGAGAGAGAGAGAGAGAGAGAGAGAGAGAGAGAGAGAGAGAGAGAGAGAGAGAGAGAGAGAGAGAGAGAGAGAGAGAGAGAGAGAGAGGTTCTACTCGAAGGCCTTCTGCCACTTTTCATAGGGCATGCGCGACGTGGGGTTGCGCCACAACCCAGAGAAATGTGCGGCTTGGAGCGCAGCGGCGGTCGATCCCCTGGTGCTGCCACAGGGAGTCCCGCTCTGTGAGGGGGGCCTGCGAGTACTGGGGAGTTTCATTGGCTCACGGGAAGGTGCAGCGGCTTTCCTGCGTTTGCAACTTGAGTCCATGTCCACCCCACTGCCGCAACTCTCGAAAATGGACCCCCAAGTAACCTCACTGCTACTGGCTCGGTGTATTTCCAGTCGCATATCATACCTCGCCCGCACCACCCCTCTCTACCTGCTGCCTGAAGCCGAATGGACCAGGTGGGGCCGGGCCCTGCTACACGCCCTTCTTGACGCATGTGGGGTGCGCCACCCAAGGGGAGAGACGGAGGCAGGGCGAATCTGGGACCAGTCATCACTCCCGCCGAGCCTCGGTGGGCTAGGCCTTGCAGATCCTGTGGTGGAGGGCTGGTACAGCTTCCTGGCCAGCCTCATACAGGCCCATTCCCTCCTCAGCCCCCTCCCGGGGCCGGCGGGGTCCTACCTCACAGCAGCACTGCACAGCCCTGACACGGCAGACCCGAGCCCGAACGAGCTGCAGAGATGGATCATTGACTGCAGAGAAAGCCTAACACCGGAAGCGCGGGACCTGATTGCTTCCGAACTAGCAAAACCAGCAGGCCAGCTACAGCACCGCCTGGCACTGATAGTCCAAGGTAGCCGGAGCGCCGCACAGATCATCGCCTCTAGACAAATGGAGCTGAACCCCCTGGCAGGCCACACACAGCGCCTAATCTCACTCACAGGCTATGGGGCGGGGGACTGGCTCCTCGCCATACCCTACATGCCCGCCCTCCGTCTCTGCCCCGAACACTTCACTTTCGCCCTTCAGTTCCAGCTTGGCCTGCCCCTGTCCGTGCCCAAGTGCTGTGACTGTGACAAACGAGTTGCTATCCTCGACAAGAGACTGCCAAACCACCTGCTGCGGTACGGCAAAGGCCACGGTCGGACCAACACCCACAACGAGCTCCGCGACGAGTGTATCCGCATGGCGCAGGATGCCGGGTTCGCGCTGCACAAGGAGTGCACTGCCTTCAGCCCGGTAGATAACAAGAAGGCAGATTTGGCCTTCCAAGACCGGAGCTCAGGGGCGGTATGGCTGGCGGATGTTACGATCACCGACCCTATGAGCAAGCGTGATGAGAGGGCAAGGAAGGAGAGGGGCAGGCAGATAGGGTTGGTGATCGTAACATCTTCCCCTTGGCAGTGGAAACCTACGGCTGCCCTTGTGATGAAGTACCGACCTTCCTCAAACTCCTTGCTGACACGGCAGCTAGGAAGCTCTTTAATGCGGACCCCTCTACCTACCAGGCCGCTAAGATGCTTCACCAGTTCCGTCAGCGTTGGTCGGTTGCCCTGCAGAGGGCACAGACGGTTAGCTTCCTCATGAAGCTGAACCTTGCAGCACAGGCTGAAAACCCCCCTCTCGGAGGGCCAGAGGGGGTGCTAAACCCGGGGGACTGCTTTGCAACACTTGAGCCCCCGCAGGGGGGCTGCTAGATGGCATGTGTAGACGCTCACTTGGTTGTATCTGCTCTATGATAACCCTATAATATGTACTGCATGTTATATCAATAAAGGACCGTTCGAGAGAGAGAGAGAGAGAGAGAGAGAGAGAGAGAGAGAGAGAGAGAGAGAGAGAGAGAGAGAGAGAGAGAGAGAGAGATGGCATAGCTTTAGTCCTTAGCCATTTCTAGGCCTCTCTTCTCTAGGATCTAGTCCTTAGCCATTTCTAGGCCTGTTTCCTTAGTATAAAGGCCCTGGATCTAGGCTAGTGAGCTCATTATTCATTGGTGAGTTAGGATCACTCTCCAGATCCGGCGGCTCGCTTGAGAGAGAGCGAGAGCGAGAGAGAGAGAGAGAGAGAGAGAGAGAGAGAGAGAGAGAGAGAGAGAGAGAGAGAGAGAGAGAGAGAGAGAGAGAGAGAGAGAGAGAGAGAGAGAGATGGCATAGCCTTAGTCCTTAGCCATTTCTAGGCCTCTCTTCTCTAGGATCTAGTCCTTAGCCATTTCTAGGCCTGTTTTCTTAGTATAAAGGCCCTGGATCTAGGCTAGTGAGCTCATTATTCACTGGTGAGTTAGGATCACTCTCCAAATCTGGCGGCTCGCGCCGGACGCCTTCAGCCGCGCGTGAGGTGTGACAAGGACTAGGGGGGACAAGTCTATAATCATGGAAGGCTACAACATGCACCAGTGATAATATACAACAACAAGATCACCCCCAGGCAAGGAGATACCGCCATGGGGAAGCCCAAGGCCAGGCTTGTAACCAAGCAGGCAGGCACAGGGAAGAGGGCCACTACTCGGCCAGGATCCAACTCAACCGGCCGTCCATCCAGCGTAGCACGGATGCGGCAGCTGGTACCACGTCCCGTGGGGCCTTCAGGGCGGCAAGAACAAGCCGCCTCAGTGCAGCGGGACCAGGTCCCAAGGCGGCGCCAGGGGAGTCCGGGACCAGCCCAATCAAAGGCAGCATCTCCAGCATCTGCATCGCCGCTTCCACTGCCTCCTCCTGCTCTGTTGCTGACAATACCGGAGGCACCTCCCCATGACGCATCTGCCGCAGCTGGAAAAGGTGCAGTTGGTCGAGGACCATTGCCAACAACGTCAGGCATGTCCCCACGTGCCCAACGCGCTGGGCGACGCGGTGGGCCCTGCTCCGCGGCGGGGAGCCCGGCGGCGAAATCCCCTCCGGAGACAGTGGGGGAGAGGGATCAGGATCGACAGGCGGAGGAGGAGACGATGGCAGAGTTGATGGCGGGGGCGACTGCACACCTGGAGCCTCTTCCGCCCTCAGATACCCCATCACCTCCCACGGGATTGGGATGCGCCTCCCGCCAAGAAACAGCTGCGGGCATCCCAACGGCGCTGGCGACGGAGCAGCTGATGTTTAGGGCTGAGGTGCAGGAGACGTCGAGGGGCGAGGCGGCGGCGGCGGCTGCGGTGGAAAGGGGAAACGTCGCAGCGGCGACTACGTCGGTGGAGATGGTGGGGGAAGCGGCTGCTGCCGCAGAGATGCCAGAGGAGGCTGTGACGGCATTGGGGCGGGCTGGCAGAACTGACGCCGTTTTTGGCGGCGGCTCAACTTCACGTTCTGCCAACCACCAGGGGGCACAACAGCAGACGCTGGAGCTGGGTCTGGCGGTGGATCGGGAACCGTCCGAGGCGGCGACGTTGTCTGCGTCACCAGCGCCGGTACCGGCAGCGGTGTTGGCTGCGGCGATGACTGCTGCGACCGCGGCAGGGAACCTGGTCGACGCCTCGATCGAGGAGGAGGCATCGGTGGCCGCTGTGAGTGCCGAAACTTCTGCTTCTGCCGAGGGCGCAGACACGCAGGAGCGCGACCAGGCGGCGAGCGGAAGACGGGGTCACGGGACCGGTGCCCCTGGACGCGCCGCTCAAGGGAGGGGCGGGAGGAAGCTCTGTGCCCAGCCAGCGCCGAGGCGGCCCGGAGCAGGGCTGGGGCCTGGCGCCCCGGGACCCCTCTGGGGCTGGAGTGAGCAAGAGCAGTCGCCACTATCGCCAGAGCGTCGACCTCCATCTGTGGGACAAGAAAGAGGGGGAGGCGACGAGGAAGCTGACGTAAGGCACGTGGCAGGACACAACGCCCCGGAGGCAGCGACTACACAAGGCCCACAGCGGGAAACACGGAGCTCCACACGCTCACAAGGAATTACATGGGGCCGTCCGAGACTGGGACTGGCACACTCACCGTGGATCCCGGCGGGAAGAGCGCCACAGGCCGGACGAGGGGGGCGGAACGATGAGAGCCGGACCGGGGAAGGAGCGCCGAGCCGTGGGGCCTGAGGAGGAGGACGCGAGGCAAGAGGGGGAAGAAGGGGCGGGGGCGCAATCGTTGGCGGAAGGGAGGCGCTTGTGAGATCAGGAACGTGGAGGGAACGCCACGATCGCCCGGAGCAGGAGGCGCCACCGACGAATCAAGAGGAGAGGGACACTGGGAATGGGGAGGACGGGGGGGATTATGTAGCCAAGACCCCCGAAACCTCAGAAGAGATCTCGCTAGAGGAGGAGAGAGACACTACAGGAAGAGAGAGGGGACGGAGGGAGATTGGGAGAAACCCCTAGGACAGAAAACCCGATGCGAGAAACCCCCAGGAGAGAAACCCCCACGAAAGGGGAGAGATCGGAGTAGTGACGAGTGGGAGCCAGAGAGAAACCGGGCAACCCAACGTACAGTCACCGGCCGAGCTGGCGGCAAACGAAGCCATCTGGCAGCAGGCAGCCACGTGGGAAGTTACCCCACTTCAGCGGGGGGAACAACCTTTCTTGGTTCGGAGGATGCCCCCCAAAATTTTGGAAAGTTACACCCTCTGCGTGCTGGCACCACTCCTACGCCTGCAGAAATTTCCCAACTGTCCAGGTGCATGGGTGATCCTGCAATTCCTCCCGAGGCTGACCTTGCGGTCCCTTCCCGAACCAGTTCAAGGAAGTCGGTGGGTTGGGATTGAGGGAAGGCTGCACCGGTTCCAGCAAGGCAGCTGGGTGGAACTTTTCGAGGAGGCTAGGGTCATCCCCGATACGGAGAATCCGTCATGCCACCAAGCGGATGACGCTGGACTCTGTGCTAGGGCGGAAGGACTTATGAAGAAGGGTAACATCTCGAAGGCAGTTGTGGCGTTACGCGCAACACCACTCGCCGAGGCCACACCAGCGACACTCGCCGCGCTGCAGGCGAAACACCCCGATGCTGCATCGCCCCCGGCAATGTTCGTTTCTGGCTACACTCATTCGGAGCTGCGGGTAACACCAGAAGACCTTCGCGAAATACTCAAGCGATGCCCGAACGGAGTGGGAGCAGGCCCATCAGGTACCTGCTTTGAACACCTCAAAGACCCTGCGCTCGCGAGTGAGGAGGTGCTCATACTCCTCGCGCAAACTATCAGCTACCTGCTTAGCACCTTCCAGACGCAGGCGGTCCGCGATTTGCTACTACCCTCGAGACTCATCGCACTGGAAAAACCAGGAGGAGGCGTTAGGCCCATCGCGATAGGAGAAGCAATACTTCGCGTAGTGGCAAAGGCGGCTTTGAGGGAACTAGCACAGACCATTCGCGAATACTTCCTCCCCGTTCAGTTTGGGGTGGCAGTCACAGGCGGCGCAGAGTGCATCGTCCACTCAGTTCGATCTCTGCTTAAGGAGGACGAGAGCCGAGTAGCGCTACAGCTCGATATCGAGAACGCCTTCAACAGTGTCGAACGGCCGGCGTTCTTTCAGGCGCTCTCACAATCGAGCTTGTTATCACTCCTACCCCTCGTACGCACGCTTTACGACGGCCCGTCTAGGCTTTTAGTGGACCACAAGCTGGGCGTCGATCAGATCATGAGCAATCGAGGAGTCCGCCAGGGTGATCCGCTCGGTCCGCTCCTCTTCGCAACGGCAATCCAACCGACACTTCTGAGCACGGCAACGCTACTCCCCGAGGTGGCGATCGTCGCCTACGCCGACGACATCACCATTGTGGGCCCTCGGGACGCGGCCTATGAGGCTTTCGTCACCATCACACGGGAGCTCCGATCGGTTGGCCTCCGCTGCAACATCGCCAAGTCCTCGGGGTGGGGACCGGATACGGAAGGGGGGAATGAGATCCCATCACCACAGGGCCTGCCTATGAACACCAACGGCATCAGAGTTTTGGGATGCCCGATCGGCACGCCCGAGTTTTGTACGGACAAGGCACAGACAAGCCTCACAGAAGCGGCCGCACCACTGCCCCTGATTGCTCAGCTGCACCCACAGCACGCTATGCTAATACTCTCGAGGAGCATCTCCCGCAGAATATCGTACCTGCTGCGGACCACCCCAGCTACAGTGCTGGAGAGGGAGGAGTGGAGGTCGTGGAGCGAGACTCTGATGGCGACAGCCCTGGCGGCGGCAAAGCTACGGGTCCCAGCGAGTGAGCTAGAACAGAGTCTGTTGTGGCGGCAAGGAACCCTACCCGTCAGGCTGGGGGGGCTAGGCATCATCGACCCTACCTCGGAGGCACCGGCAGCCTACATCGCGTCAGTAATGGCAGCCCACACCCTACTGCGGCAGATGAACCTGCCAGAGGCGTTCCTGCTGAAGAGGGCGGTCACACGGCTCGACCATGCGTGGAGCCCTGCCCCACCTGAAGTTAACCAGCTGGCCCCACTGGAGGCAGCTCTGCCGGCCTCAGCACGAACCGCACTACAGGCGTTCAGGCAGCGGCCAGCAGGACAGGGTAACCTGCAGCTACTACTCTCCCGCCATATCTATGAGAGGCGAGCAGCGGAACTACTGGCTGACACGATCAAAGACCGCCTAGGCGCATACTGCGGGCACGCCATCCGCCTCATCAGCCTACAGGGGGTGGGGGCAGGGGACTGGCTACACGCTGTGCCTTCGAGAGCTGACCTTACATTTGCCCTTGGTCAGTTCTCCTTGGCGCTGGGGTTCCGCATGGGCATGTCCATGCCGGTCACTGAGAAGTGTCCCTGCAAGAGAGAGTATTCAGACATCAACGACACGAGCCTGCCGAACCATCTCCTTAGGTGCGGGTATGGGGGCGACATTGTTAGAACGCACAACGCGCTAGTGTTTGCAGCCCTCAGGATGGCAAGGGAAGCGGACTTCACGTGCTTCCACGAGACATCAGCTTTTTCCCCACCGATCCTCAGGAAGAGGGGAGACCTGGCGATTTGAGACAGGGAGTCAAACGAGACCTGGGTTACAGACGTGACAGTGACTGACCCTGTGCTCCAGCAACGCGACACCAGGGCACGGAAACCACCGGGGTGGGCGGCTGAGGAGGCCTCGGCTAGGAAGCACAGGGAATATGAGGATCGGCCAGACTACGTCGGCTTCTTTGGCCTCGCGGTTGAGACGTATGGGGCTCTGTCCTCGGACACACAAGAGTTCCTACGGCTACTAGCCACCTCAGCAGCCAAGAAGAAATACCGCCAGGGGAAGTTGACAACGACGACTGCACGGCTCACTGCACACTACCGGCAGCGCTGGTCTGTGATGCTGCAGTGCTCCTACGCAACATCCTATCTGAACAAGTCAAACCTCTCTGATGAGGCAGCGTTCCCCTAGGCTGCTAGGGACCCTTGGGAACCTAGCCTGGGGGACCTCTGGCAAGTGTTGGAGGATGAACTGGAGGTTGTGATGGCTTAGTAGGTAGGAGTGGGTGTTGGCCAGTGATGTAGCCATGGCTCGGTTGCTGCATGATTGGCCTGAATGGCCTGCCTGCCTGCACTTTTGACCGTGCTTGGCCTTGCCTTACAGTACCCTGTCTCGCTGGTTTGCCTTGCCTCGCCTTGTCTGCTTGCCATGCCTCACCTGACCGGTTTGTCTGTGTGCAGATGTTCCGCTTGCTTCACGTTCTTGCCTTGCATAATTAGTAGCTCCAATGCCTAGGCCTGTCTAGCTCTATTCCTACCATGACTGTACCCCTATGAACCTATCAATGAAGGACTGCTTGAGAGAGAGAGGGAGAGAGAGAGAGAGAGAGAGAGAGAGAGAGAGAGAGAGAGAGAGAGAGAGAGAGAGAGAGAGAGAGAGAGAGAGATGGTGCGCGCAGTGCGATCGCGACGAATCTCCATGCCGAGGTAGTGGCAAAGATTGCCAAGATCCTTGCACAGGAGACGCGCCTAGAGGGCTTGCTTGACAGCGGCATGGTCGGCAGAATCTTTAGCGAGGAGCACCAAGTCATCGACGTAGGCAAGAATGTAAACCTTGTGGGGGGGGGGGGAAGTGCGAATGAAGAGGCTGGGATCGGAAGAAGAGGTGGAGAAGCCAAGAGAGTGAAAAGTGGAGGCAGGCTTAGCATGCCACTTGCGTGGGGCCTGCTTAAGACCATACACTGGGCGCTTCAGCTCCCAGACAGTGCCTGGAGGGAAAGGGCAAGGAAAGACAGCGGGGCGCTCAAGGAAAATGCACTCATGAAGCTTGCCTTGGAGAAAGGCATTGGAGACATCCATAGAGTGAATCTCCCAATTCCAGCGGGCGCCCAGATCAAGAAGAAGGCGAAGAGTGGGGAGACGGGCAGTGGGGGAGTAAGTGGCAAAGTATTCAATGCCTTCACGTTGGGTGAAGCCTTTGGCGCAGTAACGGGCTTTGAAGACAGGGAGCTCCCCAGGCAGCTGTTTGACACGAAAAACCCATTTTCCCTTCATAATGGTGGCGCTAGGGGGGGGGGACAGAGTCAACGTAAGAGTGAGTCCTAGTGAATGCCTCACACTCGGCAATGATGGCAGTCATCCACTCAGTTGCATGAAAGCCAAACACTGCCTCGGAATAGGTATGAGGGGTGGGAATAGCGGCAGTGTCAACGGAGAGAAGAGTGGGAGAATTGGAGAAGTCGCCAATGGTGACAAAGAGGAGGGGTGAAACAGGATGAACAGAGAAAAGCTCCTCAAAGCGAACTTCGAGAAGATCAACGTTCTGAGAGGGAGAGAGATCAGTAAAGAGAGCAGAGTGTTGAAAGTTGGACATTGCATGGGTCATGGAGCGGTGAGACGTGGAGAGGGTGGGGGGGCAGGTGCAGAAGGGAGGGTAGCAGAAGGAGGTGATGAGGGAGGGGCCATGGGAACAGAAGATGAAGAGGCAGGAGGAGAGATGCCAGAGATGATAGCGGAGGGGGGAGTGGAGGAGGCAGGTAGGGGAGGTGGAGCAGGGGCAGGAGGAAGGGGAGGAGGAGAGGGAGCAGCAGAAGGCAGTGGATCAAAGTCAGACCAATGGAGAGAGGGAGCAGGTGGGGTGGGAGGGGGAGTGAGGAATGGATGTCATCAAATATGACATCCTGGCTGCGAATGAGCTGCTGAGAGGAGGGAGCATATAAATGGTAGCCAGGACAGTCAGATTTGATACTAATAAATGCACAAAGCTGCGTCTTGGGAG